TTTGTAGGTCGCGTTTAATAACGATATAGGCCTCCAATTCAGAATTTCCTTTTTGTTTTTTTTCTTATGGAGAAGTGATATAACTCCTTCAACCATTGAATTAGGGAGGAGCTCCCCAACCAGAACTTTATTGAAAAGGTCCGTTAAAACTGGGCCAAAGAAATCCCAAAAAACAATAATGAATTCAATCGGCAGGCCATCTGGCCCAGGGACTTTCCCTTTGGCTATCACATGAGCTGTAGTTTCGAGTTCCTCCATGGTTAGAGGCCGATCTAAATCTAATGCAGCATACACACAGAGGAAACGTTTTTTGGGAGAATCTCCAGAAATCGGAGAAATCTTTTAAATTTGTATCCGGTTGATCAAAAGGTTGTCAGGTAGACAAGATGTCGCTAAAATACTCCCTTGCATATTGATACATTTGAATAAAGTTTTCTGCTACGGGTGTTATTAGTGAAAAGGGATGGTCCAATTCTTTCATGAGAGGTCTGGCCACTGATTTTATCAGCGCTTGAAATGTCTCTTTAGTCATGCGGTCATAGTGCGTCATTCCCCTGATTCGCAACCATTGATTTCGCTATTCCTCGGCCTTGATTTCTTGTGCTTCCAAATTTGACAAGGCTGCAGAGCGCTTCTACATCCAATACATATCGGAGATAGGATGTCTGCATAATTGTTGTTCCGCTATCATTATGTATGCCTGCCATTGTCTAATTTGATTGTTCTGTTTGCTGCTCTTAATTCTGGAGTAGGTACTGCATGCTTCTTGCATTGCTGCCATGACCCCATCATACAACTGTTGAGGATTAGAGCAAAGATGAGTTATTTTTTTTCCAATTAGAAATTATACGATTCAACCATTTTTTCAGGGCCTCGTACTCCAAATGAGTGACATTTAACCGAAAATAGCCATGCACTCTGTCAGTATCGCCCCCCAGTTGTACTTCAAAGCGGACTGGTGAGTGGCCAGACAAGAAGGAGGCTTTAACCTCCACTGACAGGCAGCTATCCCATGGGGTTCCCCGCATCAGGACATAATCCAGTCGGCAGGCAGACAAGGCTCCACTCGAGAGGCCAAACCAAGTGTACCAGGATACCTCCGGGTTCAAAATCCTATAGGCGTCTGTTAATTCATTGGTTTTCATAAACTCATAAAGCAGCAGAGAATCCCTACGCATATTTAAAACTGTCGGAGAATCTAAACCTGGATTTAGGATTGTGTTCCAATTTGCCCCGATGACCAGGTTCTGTGTATCTGGCAACAGTTCCGACAAATCAGCTATGAACTGAATTCGATCCTTGTAATCTACTTACACATAAATAAACATAAAAATCCATGGTTCAGAGTCAATTTCCGCTTTTGCCCAACACCATCGACCCCATACGTCAAACGCGGAGTCAATGATTTCAGTAAGAAAGTCCTGGCGAAAGAGGATGGTCGTACCCCCTTTAGTTCCCACTGCTGGGGACCACACCTGGGTACCGGGCCACCATTGTCTCATTTCTCAAATTTTATATTCATTAAGCTTGGTTTCTTGAATGAGAGTTATCTTGGCGTCTGTCTCGTACATCCATGTACGAAGGCGAACCCTTTTGTGTTTGTTATTCGTGTCACCCAAACCTTGGACATTCCATGTGACAATAGGCAGTCTATTTCGCATGACTGCCTATGCGCCCGGTTGCGTGATGGATCCGGTCAAAGGTACCCTGTTGAGACCCATACTTTTTCCATCTGCCCCCTTTCTCCACCACTAGAGTAGACCAGTTCAGTCACAGTGTCGAATTCAATTAGGGGGAGAAAAATATTTTTCTGTTTGATTGCATCAGGTTTCAAACCAAGGTATCCGTAGTGATGCCATCCAGCAACTGGATGCCTTTCAGATCCGGATCCCTCATGGTTGGCCAATTGGAGCAGAGGAACAAAGGAGATATTTAGTTCCTTAAGTTGATCCTTGCTCAGCGGCCGAGCGTCCAAAAAGGCGTAAAAGAAAGCCAACTTCTGGCCTGTAGTGTTCAAAATAAAATGACGGACTATTTTTAACCCTGGGATCAAACGACTACGAAATTTATTTTGAACCAAAAGGTTTTGCGGACGTGGCCACTGAAGCCTCTGTAGGATCTTCCGTGATTGCCGTGACTGGAAAGGATCTGCATTCATTCTCATTTTTAAAAACCAACGCCATTGGTCCCTGATTAGAAGGGACGCAAAAAATTGACACTACGTATTTGAAAACAGACTGTCCTTTGCCCAAGGCTTCCACTCCCGGACCTTTACTAAGGGTTAGGGTCCTGGATTGGGATACCTCTACGCCATCGAGGATCTGTGCCAAGTCCTCTTGCTGGTGGTCCGCCTCTGAACCATCCGAAGAGTTACATCGTGTGAGAATTTTCTTACCAGACTCTGTTTTCCTCGCCCTCTTGTTAGATGATTTTTTGGATGTGCTCGCTTTGTGAGATGCTTTGGTCTCGTTGTCGTCCAATGTTATGAGGGTCAGTGGGTTTTCCTCTCTGGACGGGACTACCTCCATAGCGTCTTCGTTGGGTTCATTCTTGTCCGATATTCCAAGTGCCAGTTCTCCATTGTGCTCGAATTCAATTTGAATGTCCTCGATTTTTTCCCATTTGTGAATTTCCATCAGTGTTGTCGGGGCCAATTTTCCCCCCTGCTCTTCCCCTGTGTGAAACTTGGGGTGCCAGACGTATCCCAAGTGCGAGAAGGTATCATACAACTTGTTAGTAAATGTCGAGGTGTAGGATGAGATCGGAGGAGGGGGATGAAAGTCCCTGCCCCAAACTGTGAAGAACGACTGGTCTTTGTTCTATCGTGCGGTGTCTGTTTGCGATGTTGCCGCCCAGCTCTCGGATCCCGAAGTTCCTCCTGTGGCTTCGGATCTTTGTTTCTCGACGCGTTTATGCATTCGTGATTGTAATGAAACCACCATCTGCAATGAGAGCAGTATGGGGTGGAGGCATTGACCACGTCTACTACCACAAAATTTTAATTCCTCTTCCGACAATTCAATCGTTAACGACCTATGAAAGGAAAATCTGGCAGAAGACTCAAGGTCGAAGCGAACATTTGCAATAGACGGTTCGTCTTTGTTGGATTGATAATCGTGCATTTTAAGAACCTTGCCCATTGTTTTCTCGATATGGAAACGAAGGTCAAAGATCGCGGTCACTGGCACATTGAGGCAGCGGATCCAAAAAAAGTCAAGCTTCATTGCTTCCTTAAGTTTCTCCAGTTCGCTTGGGAGTAAGTAGGGGCGAAATTCCACCCGATAAATTGAGTTTTCAAATTCAATCTTATTGTCCCCCACGCTTTTCATCCAATCCGCGTGCTGTTTTGACCCTGTAATGTACGTGGCGAGGTTCTTTCCTTCGTGAATGAAGCATCCTTTCTTGTAATCGTTTGGGATCAACCCTGCTCTTATCCACGCTGCCTCATAAACACGTACCATCTATTTTTTAACTGGCACTGACAGGGTACCTGCTTCGTTCTAAAAAACCAATAAGACCGCTCGCTCATTCAACCACTCGTCCTGAATCGCTCTAATTCGTGGATCGATTTTCAATTTTGAGTGGTATGGGCCACAGTCAATTTCTCCGTGATTTAAACCTTCTGTCAATTTCCCAGCCAAAGAGCAAGCCTCGAGCATTTCCCGTGCTTGTGCTCTGAACGCTGGGTCAATGGATAACGGGGGGTCAACCCCGTACTCCATTTTCACGCGAGCCTATAAAATACTCGTACGTGTTAGTCAAAGCCTCAGTGAACACAAAAAAAAATACTGCCCAAACCAAACCACTGTGATAGAAGGGGCGGAAGAAGTTACCATCCCAGTCGATGTTGGAGAGCCTTGCCCGGCCGGAGCCAAACAAGAGGTCGCCGTCGTCCAGTGATCTCGATTCTTCCAAAACACGTCAGCACATAACGTAGTCACCACAGATAGCAATGGCACGAAGAGAGGCGGGAGAACAGGCTTCTCGCTCACCCGCTACTCACGGGTGAACGCCATCCCAGGATGATGCGAGGACCTTCGCGTGATAGGCTTACTGCACAGCGCTACGGCGATCCCCTATACGAACAACGTGAAAGCCCGTGCTAATTAGGGTTAGCGCACCTAATAGTCGATTAGCGCTGAAACTTAGCACCGCTAAGTTTTAGCGCAAATCGAGCCGCCGCCGTCCTGTCCTCCCCCCAGTACTGGTACTCGCCATTGACAAAGAACAAATTGAAGGTGAAATCGACCGAGGACCTCCTCGAATCTCCAGCGTCGCGGCAGGTCACACGTCATTGAAAACTCAACGAGGACCTGCCTCAACGCTGTTAGTGGGACAAGGTCCCCGGTCAGTTCGATGATGATCCGTGGTCCATCGGGGCAAAAAAAAAAAAAAAAAAAAAAAAAAAAGGGGGGGGGGAAAAAAAAAAAAAAAAAAAAAAAAAAAAAGGAGGTGAGGAAAAAAGAAAAAAAAAAAAGAAAAAAAAGATATATGGCAATTCCTCGAAGAACTGCAGTGGAGCAGGGAATCACGGCAGTGTGCCCCCCAGTGGCTGAGGCTCTTCCAGCCCTAATGGGAAGAGGCGTGGGTATAAGCTTGTAATCAAATTCTTAATTGGAGCCTTGGGGAACAAAAAAAAAAACAAAAAACAAAAAAAAGAACTGCAGTGGAGCACAAGTCCGTAGGAAGTACTGGCGAAGCCCTTCAAAGACAGAAGAAAGGCCGAGAAAGATACAGTTCCCGCTTCTTGAGGGGTATAATAGAGAATAGTCTCTCTGATGAGAGGGCACCAACGGCCCAGCGCGGTGGGCCCGTCGGGGCTGATAGGCGAACTGCTCCAAACGGCTGTCCATCCGATCCCCTTCTCAGGCGGCGTGTGCGATGGGCGAGCCAAGCCACCGCCAGGCCGTTAGCCGACTTGTCCGTCATGATGATGTCATCCTAGCCTCCACGCCGCGATGGGGTAGCCGCGGCAAGTGTAGCGTCCGCTAGACGCTGGATGGGCAATGTCCCACGCCGACTTGCCCGAGACGTGGGCCAATGTGGAGGGGTATCCTTGGATCGCAGGAGAGTTGGGGGACTCTCCGGCGACACGGGCCATTTGCTCTGATTGTGCTATCCATCCACTTCGACCGAAGTTACTCTCCCTGCCTTCTCTCTCTCTCTCTCTCTCTCGCGCGCGCGCGCGCGTCTGTCTTTACCTCTTCGTTCCCCTAGGTAGTCCTGCTCTGCGCAACGGGCTTATTCTCAGCTCTCAGCTCTCAGGTTTTATATCTATTTGTCCTCACACGCGACCCCTTCCAATGCTTGATCGTTTTTTTACAGTAATTATTGAATATTGAAGGTCACTGTCGAAGTTGTGCTTTCCTGAATGAATCTGGCGGTAATCGTGGCTTGGATTAATTCAAAAACAGTACACACGTATGCTTTTCCATCTATTCGTTCTCACCTTTTCTCTCCCACCTCTTGATTTGCTTGGAGGCATTCTCACACGTATGCTTTTTCCTTAACGTATCTGGCGACAATTGTGGCTTAGGTTCATTCAAAAAGGCAAAGAAATGTAAACATGATGCTCTTCTTATCCGCCCCCTTCCGCGGCTGGTCTTGCCTTGTCCTCTTCCCTCTTGTTCTGCCATCATCGTCTTCTTTTTTCCCCCTTTTCTACAAAGGGGAGTGTTTGGGGTCCTGTGCGGGATTTCGATGATGCCATGCACGTGGCTTGTGTGTGCATGTCTGGGGCGGGAGGTGGATAGACAGACATATGTATTGTCACAGAGATATCAGAGCGCAAAGGCGAAAACAAAGAAAAAAAAAGAAAACCTTAATTCATTTTTAATCTTCTTCCTTACAAGACTCCCCCTGTTCAGAACCTGTTGCGTACAAGGCCGCCCACGTGGATGTAGGTTGAGCGGCGGCTGCCCCCACCCCCGTGTGTCATATCGACCCCCACTTGCACACAGCCAAAAGGCAAAGAGGCAAAGAAAAGAGGAAGGGAACAGCCAAATAAAACAGACAGAACAGGGGCCAACAAAACAGATCCCAGATGACATATACTGACCAGGGGGAGTTATAAGGAAGAAGATTAAAAAATTGAATTCATTTTTTCTTGTTTTTCTTTCTTTTTTCCCGTTTGTTCTTTTTGTTCGCATTTGCGCTCTGATACTCTTGTGACAATATATTATATGATTTTCTCTATGATGATCATGATATATAGTTTAGACCAGCGAAGCATACGGCGAAACCATGATGGGGTGTTGACACTGGCGAGCGCGAAAATGATTTGTTATCTGTGATTGCTCTTTTTTGCAGGCAAGGGTGTTTATTGATATCCTGGTTGGTCTTGTCCCGTCGTTTGGCCTGTTGTGAGGGGGAGGGGTGGGTGCTTGCATGTGGGACTTGGCAGCTAGGATCTGTTTATGTTTGTTTCCCCCTGTTTTGTCATATTTGACTGTTCCCTCCCCTTTTCTTTGCCTCTTTGCCTTTTGGCTGTGTGCACGTGGGGGGTCGATATGACACACAGGGGCGGTGGTAGCCGCCGCTCAACCTACATCCACGTGGGCGGCCTTGTACGCAAGAGGTTCTGAACAGGGGGAGTCTTGTAAGGAAGAAGAAGATAGAAATACGAATTGATTTCTTTCGTGTTTTTCTTTTTTTCGCCTTTGCGCTCTGATATCTCTGTGACCATATATATATATATCGTCAAACAGAGCTGCCCGGTAAACCGTAGGCAGAGAGGGACGGAGGGAGAGGGAGAAGAGGACAACAATGTACTGGAAGCATTATCCAGCTTACACTCTTCCGCCGAATACAACGTAATAAGGTCATTATAGCTGTGTATGAATTTGGGGTATCTTTCAGTCTAAATACAGCAGCAGCTATAATGACTGTGCGTTGTATTGGGGGGACGAAGTTTAAATCAGTTTTAAAAACTTACAGGCTAAAAACCTGCAGCAGGTCTTTCCACTACAGACCCCACGCAGCTCTGTGGCTGCTCAGACATGATTGGTCTGTACTCTGGGCCCGGTTCCCAGCACCCGAAAAAAAAGAAAAAAAAAAAAAAAGAAAAAAAAAGAAAAAGAAAACTGGTCTCTAAGCGGGAAAAGTTAAAAAATGCCTACTGCTTCGCTCCTATTCCCTCCTCTCCTCTCCTCTCCTCTCCTCTCCTCTCCTCTCCTCTCCTCTCCTTCCCCGCTCCTTTGCTCCTCTTTCCCCTCCTCCCTCGCTCTCTGCGGATCGCCGGGTGTGCACCTGGTCGAAACCTGCGTACTAGGGGGCACTGTGCACATAACTGAGACTTACTTGTACATGCAGATTCTAGGAGAAAGCTTGGGAGGCATATGCACTGTGTTTGCCTCCCTCCCTCTCTCCCTCCCTCCCTCCCGCCCTAGCCTCCCACCACTCCCCCTCTCACAATAACTCCTATTGTCTTCTTCTGCTCGGCCTCGAGTGCCTGGACCACCTACCACTACTTCCCCCCCCCCTCCCCCCCTCGCACCATTCCTCTCTCTAACCACGCCTCTTCTGTTTGTCTACAGCTGGCCGCGCCTCTTCCTCTCCCTCCCCCCCCCCCCTTTCTTTGCGTGTCTCATTCATTTTGCTCTCCTTCTCTTGCCCACTTTCCCCTACCCTCGGGTACCTCTTTCCTATCTTCTGGACTTGAGCGAGCGATCTCGGTCTTTCGCCGGACTTGCTCCATGACTTCCCCCTACTACCGTCTTCCCCCGAACATAACGCACCCTCAAAATGAATGTATACACGCTATATTTCCGGTTCGGTACAGCCATAATCAGGGTGCGTTGTGTTCGGGGGAAGACGGTAGCATCCCGAAGGCTGGAGGCCAACACAGTCCACTTTTCTACTTGTTCTTGTTCTTGTTGTTGTTCTCCTTCTTTCTTTCTTTCTTTCTTCTTCTTCTTCCTTCTTCTTCTTCTTCTTCTTCTTCTTCTTCTGCTTCTTCTTCTTCTTCTTCTTCGTTTATTCGTCTTGCTTTCTTTTTCTTATTGTTGAAGAATTCATTCTCCTTCTCCTTGTTCACGTCTCCCTCCCTTGTTGTGTCTGCTGACAAAAGTTAACCCCCTCCCCTGCATTATCCCCTAGCCCTTCTGACAGATTGAATCCCAAAATGTTTGTTGTTTGTCCAACAAACTTTTGAAAAACGTTTTTAGGCAACCAGAATCTGAAAATGTGTTCGTTCATCGAACATATCAAATCCTGTTGCCCTCCTGTATTGACCCTTATTGAGAATTGAAACGAAATGTATTTTCCGTCCCCTCTTTCCCCCTCTTCCCGCTCCTTCCCCTTCCTTCCCCGTCCTTCCCTCTCCTTCTCCCTCCTTCCCGCCTCCACTCTGCCCCCCCCGAAAAAGAAAATACTTATTTCTTGCGAAATGCTGGCTGACTCGCAATGAGGTGCAGGGAAACCAAATAGTCGTTCGGCGATCGGATAGCCGTTTGTAATCTAAAATGTTGGTCAAGAAGCTGCTGTCCTTTCCTTTCCTCTCTTTTCCTTTCTCCCTCCCTCCCTCTCTCTTTCTCTCTCTTTCTCTCTCTCTCTCTCTCCCTCCCTCTCTCTCTCTCTCTGTGTCAGTGCCTTTCTCTCTCTGCTTTGATTTTGTCTTCTTCTTGTCGTTCTCTCTCTCTCTGTGTCTCTCTTCCTCTCTCTCGCTTTGTCTCCTTCCTTGCATTCTCTCTCTGCTCAGTGAAACGGAGTGACCTTCCATCTTTCGTCTTCCTTTTTGCTTTTTACCTCCTGAAAAGGAAGATGAAAGGAAAGGAAAGATGGGAAAAAGGGAAAAAGAAGGAAAAAAAAACAAAAAACAAAAAACGAAAAACGAAAAACGAAAAAAGAAAAAAGAAAAAAGAAAAAAGGAAAAAGAAAAAGGAAAAAAGAAGGAAAAGAAAAAAGAAAGACGAAGAAAAGAACCAAAAAAAAAGAGGAAGAAGGAAAAAAAAAGGAAAGGGAGTCGTGCGCTTAGTGAAAGGGAAAAAAGAAGAAGAAAGAACACGAACCAAGGACAATTGGAACTGACCAGATCACCGAACAGCATGGAGATCTCGACGGTTACCTACCGTCTTCACCCGAATAGAACGCACGGTCATTACTCCATCTAGTAGACGGAAAAGTTGCCCCCCCTCCCCCTCTCCCTCCCCCCCCAAAAAAAAAGAAAAAAGAAAAAAGGACCACGTGTTCTATTCGGGTAAAGAGGGTAGTTCTGATCCACAAATGGAAAAGGAGCATCGTGGTGCTGGAAATTAGTAAATTACCGACAAAGACCAGGCTTGGCTTCTATTTGCTAACCGTGTAAAAAAAAAAAAAAAAAAAAAAAAAAAAAAAAAACAGAAAAAATGATATGATTGTATGAAAACAAACAGCTCGCGGTTTTGCTTCTTGTCTGATGACTTTTTTTTTAATGGAAAAAAGGACAAAAATGGTTCGTGGACCCGTGATCTTTACGTGCTTGAATCTGCATGTATTGTATGTCTAGAAACATGGGAATGTACGCACGTGTTTGCAGAGTTGGATCTCTGTACACCTGCATATGTGTATATCCGTTTATAAATTTGTGGCAGAGAAGATCGTTTCCCCCTATTGAAGTTTGAAAACACTTCTATTTTAGTTTACACTGTCAACAATTAAAGGATGAAAAGATGGAAGTTTGATTTTAAAAATTAAGGAGAAAAAATGGAACTTTGACTACAGTTTGACTATAGTTTGACTACAGTTTGACTACAGTTTGACTACAGTTTGACTACAGTTTGACTCATGGCTACAATCCAGACATCCGGACCACCGTGCAGATGGTCTGGATTCAGTCCGGATTCTATCCGGTCCGGGAGGTCCGGATCTGCGAAATTTCAGGGGGGGAGGGGGGGAACAAAAAGAAAACGGTCCAGGACCCTTCCACATTGTCCGGACCCCCCAAAAAAACAATTTTGGGGGCTTTTCAGGCCCGTTTTTGTTTTTTGGGGGGTTCTGGACATGTGCAAGGAAAATGACATAGCCAGGCTGAGCGCCCAGCTACTCTCCTCCTCCAGGCAGCGCTCCAAGTCCAGCGCTTGGCTCCAGCAGTATGTCGCCAATTCTTGCACACCGCAAATGAGGAGGAGCTACTTGCTCCTCCAGAAGATATAGTGGCGTACTTGCCTCTTGGGCGGTGACTTCCAGCAACTGGCACCTCCTCCCTTTCGGAGGGAAACATCATTGCAGGCTCTGATATCGTCCGTACAGGCCCTAGACTCAGGCTACTTGGACTGGTACCGGCTACCTCTAGCCTACCGCTACTGGGCCTCTGAAAATGCCAACTTTTTGTCTTCTTCTGCTCAGCCTAGAGTACCCGACACTTCTACCACTACTTGAGTGATGCCGGCCTACCTGCTGCTCGAGTGTTGTTCCCGCTGCTCTAAGGATCGCGGGCCTACCCCTGCTACTTGGGGTGTTTTCCCCGTTGCAACCCTCAAAAGTCACGGCCACTGGCAAGTACAGGCCCTGCGGGGCCTCCAAATGGACGAGTACCCTTGTGGGTCACACACACACTCAGGCCGACAAGCACTCAGACAGGCACACAGACAAGCGGGCACGCACACAGACAGACTTAGAAATCACAACGGAATGCGGGAATCTCATCAAGGCATCCAGTCCAGCGGCAAATCCCAGAAATCAGCAGTGTTCTCAGTCTGTGTTTTGGCGGGTCATTACACCAGCAAGAAAGCACCGACCCCATGTCGGCCCACAAAGCCACAAAACAGCATAACACTAAAGGCTCCACTAACAAAAAAGCACCGACCACACATGCCAATGGTCTAAATTTGTTTTTTGAGCCCTCTGCGCCGACCTACAACGCCACCACAAATGAAAAATACATTGCAGAACCTGTATGCAACACCAAGAATGCCACAACCCCCCCCCTGCCGCGCAACCTGCAGAATCGGATGATGTCCTATTGCTACAGCGAGGCCACTGCGAGTACTATCCCAAATGACAGAAGATCGCCACGCGACACCAGGAGCGCTACTGCTTAAAACACCCTAGAAGCTACCCCATTCTTCCATGTGCTCTGAAAGAGCAGCCGGCGGGAATGGCACCGACAGCAAACACTCTCCGAGCCTCCTCGCAGAGATATTGTGGCCAAAACCCCAAACTCCCACCGCAGAAAAAAACTTGTGGCCACCCACAGACGTTACCTCATCGACAAGACAGCCCATGCTGCAAAGCAGGGCAAAGAATTAGGTTGTGTGTGTGTGCGTGTGTGCGTGTGTGTGTGTGTCTGCGGCTGGTGGCTGTCCATGAGTCTGTTTTGGCGGCACGTTTGTCTAGATCTCTGTAGCGTTCTTTTGTCTGTGTCTCTTTGACTGGCTGTCTGTGTGTCTGTGTCTGTCAGTATACTTCTTTTGTCTGTGTGTGGTGCTATCGGCATTAAACCATCGCTGTCCCTGAACCTGTGAACCTAATTTTGTGAACCTGGCTTTTGCTCAACGCTGATTTGCCAAACCTCGGGGACTCTCATTGGCAAGAGACCGCGGTCTCGTTTTGTGACAGGCTCTTGCTGTTGCAGTCCTCGATCTAGTGGTTGCGGTCAGTGCCCAGAGTTTTGTCTTGGGGCCATCCTAGGCATCCTCCATCCCGCTCCCCAACCAAGTTCCCTCCCCCTACCCCCAACCTCTCCCCCCCTCCCCCGCCCGCCCGGTCTACTGCTGCGACCTGGGGAGGGTGTTGCGGGCAGTGGTTTAGTCTGGGAATGTTTGTGGTGGAGGTATTTTGTTGTTGCTATGTTGTTTGTATGGAACTGGACATTATTCTTCTAGGGCTATCATTTGCACAAAGGTGAGAGATCAAACCAGGACAGGAAAGTAAATCGCGCGCGTGCTGTCCGCGGAAATACCAAAGCAGTTTTCAAGATTGAACTGTAGAAAAACTTTAGATGATGGTTGACACTGCGTTGATTGCCGCATGCGCCGGCCAGTCTGCAACATATTCTTCAGCGTATTTGATTCGTGGGTAAGGTGTTTCAGCCCCTCATGGTGAAATCCCAAGCCGCAGTCTCCCCAGACTGCAGTTGCACATTTGCTTTACTACCGTCTTCACCCGAATAGAACGCCCGGTAATTATCGCCGTATATCTGGCCTGAAAATTGTGTCAAATACAGCTATAATGACCGGGCGTTCTATTCGGGTGAAGACAGTAGGTACCGGTCATAGTAATGACTGTAGTTAAAAAAAATATAGTGCAGAGTATGCAGAACAAGAGTATGCTGTCTGGTTCTGCTGCTCAGTCTAGTGGTTCATCCGGGCTGTTCAGCCCAGACAGGTCCTAGTCCACCCGTCTTGCGGATAACGACAACTTCGGCAGTCCCAAGGAGACATCTTCTCAGCCGCGATGGGTATGGTGGCCTTGTGCATATTCAATGGAGCCCAAATCTGAGTTTATTTCCAAATACCATGTTGGGGATTGACAGATTTCAAGGTGTATGAAGGGGGTTCAAAGTAGTTCAAACAGGTTCAGGGCCATGTACCAGATTGATCTTAACCCGCCTCCCTCCGCCCCCCCGCCCGCCCTCAAACCCCCCTTTCCTCGCACCAGTCCTGAATATGAGAAGGAACGTTGAGATGACCATTAGCCAACCATTGGCTGTACTGGAGTACTGAAAATCTCCTTGACGATGCCAGCATACTCATTTTTGGAGCTTCTTTCAAAAAAAAAAAAAAAAAAAAAAAAACCTGTGGCACCCTGCAGTCCCGGGACGACATGAGTGGCACCGGGGTCGAGGTGCCATAGCGTCAGGCTCCAGTCTATTGGTGGGGAGGTACACCTGGTGGAAACCGGGTCCAGCGTCCCTGGTACATTGAGAAGGAACAAACCACTGCGATCCTTACCCAGACAAGGCCCACCGACTCGCTTGCTTTCCGGCCTCCACAAGGGGCCGGGTCCACCTTCTGCCTGCACTTCAACCCATCCAGTGATCGTGCCCAGCAAAACACTGGTGCCCGAGGGACCCGCCCCCGGGCGTGTGACGACCGGCACAGGACCCCAGTTGTCGGTCGCGGATGGTACCGTCCCAGCATTGACCATACAGTCAGGCTTGGACTGTGTGCACAGCAGGGCGGACTACCCTGTGTACCTTCCCCCGCAGCTCACTCCTCGGGACCAATGAATGGATAGTTCTTTGCCCGAAACGATGGCTATCATTACCCGGCCGAGGGCTTGATTCAAAAGCCTCTGCTTGATGTCCTCTGCTGCTGGCGGGCTTGCCCTGCTTCGTTGCAGAATTCTTTTCCAGTCGGCTCTGTACTTGGCTTCCAACAGCTGCAGGCTCCTTGGAGCTTCCCCCCCCTCCCCTCTTCTCAGAAAAGTGACAAAGGGACGAAAAACATTGTTTTCAATATTTTGATCATCCACACATCTGGCGCGTCCAAACCAGTGGATTGGGACTGCCCAGGGCTTGCCAGATACCTGCTGGCGTAGATGTAAAAACTCTCTGTATAGGGTTCAGCCTTGCCGACGAGTTGGTGAAAGCCCCAAAGCAGCTCCTTCAGAGCCCCTTCCTTTTTGGTCCTATTCTCTACGTTCTAGCAATTGTATGTCAGGTAGTTCCATTTGACTATGTGCATATAAAATTATAAGTTGATATAATGCCATGATAGCCATATATTTATTCGATTCTCGAGTAAGTGGAGCGATAGTAAGTGGCTCCAAAGATGTGTGATTACACTGATTAGTCAGCGGTATAAATTATACGATGGGTTGGGGAGAGAAGGGCCAGGCTAAGGTTTGAATTCTCCAGGACTTAATTTTTCGTGTACAAGTCACAAACCCTTTGTGAAACACTTCTGGCAACAGAAGTCCACTCCTGTGGGGCACAAATCTATGCTTTGCGGCCTTTGCCTTCATTTATGCATGTGGGATAGAGCTATGTTGAGTTGGCCAGAACCTTGGCCTGCTGTGTGAATTTTACTGGCTTTGTGCTAAAATTTACCCTTAGTTACTGCTATTGTTGGGACTATAGTACTGGTTTTGACTTGCTAAGGTACTACTACTGGTAGGGTAGGCAACCTTCCTTCTGAAACCACCAGTACTTGGCCCAGCTATCGATGCCGAGCCGAGATACCCCTGCGCGCCAAGTTTTGCTGAGCCGCCGGGGCACCGTTTCGTTTTCATTTTGGCTGGCGCTTCCAGCCATTGTGGTTCGGTGCCCCGAAGCCCGCAACTACCGCCGCGTTAACGTCAAACGCCCGCGGCTGATAGCTGGGCCAAGTACTGGTGGTTTAAAGGACCACTACCTTTCGCGTACATTGGCCGCGGGGAGGGCCCCCGCTCGTTTCAGAGGCCGAAACGAAATGGTGGCTGCTGATGGAAATTATCATCGGAGGCCGGCGTTGGACCCAGCCCTCGAAGAATGCGGAAGAGGTACTATAGTCTATAGGTTATATTCCCACTTTTCCCAACACTGTGAAAGGTAGTGGTGGTTTAAGTGCTGTTCGGACTTGTTTGGTTGTCTGCATTTTTTAGAAGAATTAGGCATAGTAGAGAGAATAGGGTCTGTTGAGTGGCAGTTAGAAAAGGCGTCTTCATTCCTCTGTTGTTTCACCTCTGTGTGCTTTCTCTGCCTGCCTTTTATTTTGGTGTTTCCTGCTTCTGCCAAGGTGTGCTCTGTTCCTGGTGTGTTTGCCTGGATGTAGCGAGGTTCCGACGAAAAGTGTTTTCTTTCTCTCTGTTGTTTCAAACCTCTGCTTGTTTCCCTTCTTCCCCTTTTGCTTCTTTGTCTGGCTGCAGGGAGGGGGCTCTGGGGATTTGCTGGCATACCCCTCTGGGAGGGAACCATTCGCAAGATTACGTCTGGGCGGGGGTATCGCGCGATTGGCTAGTTGACGATAGATCCGCATCTCAGGATCAGATCGCTGACAAATCGCTGATAGAGAAGATGAAGCTCCTAAGTGTTTGGCTACTGCTTGTTGCCGTGATGCGCCTTTCGGCCTTCGTCTGGGGCTATACTGATTTGTCCAAGTTGCAAGTGGGCGTTTATTCGGAGACGGAATTATCTCCTCTGCACGGCAGGGAGTTCTCGGCGTGGACGGCGACAACAGCTTCCTTGTGTCTAATATGCGCTCTCAACCTCAATAGCCGCCCTATCTACTTGGCGACAATGATGTCGTTTGTCATTGCGGAAGCGCATTTCCTTCTCGAATTCTTTGTCTTCAGAACTATGTCGGTACAGACTTTCATTTCGCCTGCGATTATCGCCTCCGTGTCTGCGCTCTGGATGCTGCTCAATTGGAGCAACACTGCCTCCAGTGCAATCTACGACAGCAAAAGGTCGTAGAGTCTTCCTGTCTATTGCCCGCCTGCTTCCAACTACCTCGGCTTATCCATCTGCCATGCACAAAGATCCAGTGGAATCTTCTCCTTCTAGTCTGACTGCCTGCTCCAAACTGTATACATAGCTGCCTTCTGAGCTGCAAGTGGAAGGTCTCGGAATGGGAAAACGCAGGCGCCCATCGATGTCGCTTGGTCAGGGACTCTGTATCTTCACGACTTAACGACAGCGGCTTTCCAGGAGCATGTACTAAACGCCGGTGCTTCGCACCTACGCATTCTCTCCTGGGGTGCTTGCACACACTAAGTTCGTAGGTGCGTGGGCACTCCCCACTCAAGCACGCAGATGGTGCGGGCAACCTTGTACTTTGTTTCTCCAACTTGTATTATTGGTAGATTGTTTGACGAAGTGCATGATCCTGTTCATAGCAGGTAATATATGACCAAGTGCGTGATCCTGTTCATACGAGGTAATATATCTACTATCTTATTCTCGTTATATTTTGGAGAAAAGGTTCTATTCTGGTGATGTTGTTGTTGTTGTTGTTTTTTTTTTTTTTTTTTTTTTACAGCACACCTGTCGACAACACTGTCCATTCATGTTGGTTGAATCCACCCGCACACACCTTGATCTTGGTTTCACCCCTGAGGACCCTAACTCTAAGAGGTGATTGGTCGTGACTTCGCTTTTTAAGTCGTAGTCTAACTCTCTTAATATATGCCACTTGTGCTGCACGCTCACCGCACTTCACCTTTATGTCTTGTCTTGTCTTGTCTTGTCTTGTCTTGTCTTGTCTTGTTCACAGTCTCTCCCTTTGTGAGTTATTCATTTTAGTCATTCATATGTTTATAACAATATGCCGACTTCAGTGATACAAACTCATTACATCTATATGCATGTCTCATCGCCCTAGCCTTGTTGCTGGAGTGTCCTCTATCCGCATTGTCTCCTCCCGCTTCACACTGCACTCACCGACAAGAATCCTCTCCGGTTGTTCCTGGATGAAGGATGTGCTTTTTTCTCTCGCTGGCAAGCTCGTCCTACGCACCCCCCTTCCATAACCATCCCCTTTGCCTTCCACCCCCTTTCCTTTCCACTCTCTAAACGCTAAACCCAAAAAAAGAGGAACTTTTCGGTTGTGGTGTTGGACCCTTACTAGTTTCATTTGATGGGAAGATGATATTTGGCTTCACTCGTCCGTCCTTCTCCAGTCTTCCTCACTCTCTCTCTTTGTCTCACTTGCCCCCTCCCCTCCCTCCCCCTCCGATTACCAACACTTCCAAATGCAGCCGTAGCAGCGAGCAATACCTGTCGCACTGCCTCGTTCGAGGACGTTGACTCGTGATCTTTATTATCCACCGTTGTATCGCGAAGGATGATGGCCCACTACATTGCTATTTATCTCAAGTGCACCCTATCAAGTGCGCCCTGTCAAGCGCATACTAAAGCCACTCTCCACCAACATCCTATCAAGTGCGCCCTGCCGAGTGCATACTAAAGCCACTCTCTACCAACATCCTATCAAGTGCGCCCTGTCAAGTGCATACTAAAGGCAGTCTCTAGGAACATTCCCTGGTTTACGCTTTTGCTTACCTATTTGGATGGGGATGTTGGTACGGTTTGCTCTTCAGACTCTCTCAGCCGGGGTAATCTTGGCTGTTCCACGTCAATATCCTTCCTGAAGCGGCAGGTGATGCCGTACTGTTTGCGTTATTCTGTTACTCTTGTGCGCATCATCTCGGGCGTACCAATCGCGTGTGCAGTTCTTCCTCCGCACACAGGACGACTTCGATGGAGTTGCTTCCACTGTTTCACACCTCTGACGCAAATAGCTTTCCCTGCATGTCAACCCGATTTCAGCCACTCCTGGATTAGGTATGCACGACAAATACTGTCTTCACCGCGTCAATAGAACACCCGGTCATTATGGCCGTATTTGGTACAACTTTCAGTCTACATGCAGCGATAATGACCGCGCGTTCTATTCGGGTGAAGACGCTAGTATCTGTCCTATGTATATTGAAGGAGAGCATTGCATCGCATAGCTTATGCTGTCATTCGGATTTCGAAAGCCTTGGTTGCTATTTATATCACAGAGCTTTAGGGAATAAAAGGGGTTCATATCAGCTGCCTACGTGTTGAAGTGTGTATCTGATACTCCAAAGAGTGCCAAAACATTATTATAATAATTACATTACTTTGGAATGTTACGTATGCACCCAAGGGTCAAGAAGGCGTTCCAGGAATTATTGAGATGAGATATCTGACAGCTGTCCAAAGCTGTTGTCGTCTGCCTCGAGCTGTGATTGGTATTGGCAAAGTGTTATTTCCGTATGTGGCTGGATGATCTGATGCCCCCTCTGATTCCTCCCCACCTTCTTCTTCTTTTTTTCCCCCCCACATTCTATAGTATTATCGCTGTAGTCTTGAGGCCTGGCTGACAATCAATCATTGGGAGGCTTCGGTCCCATGAATTCGGTTCATACGTGGACTAGTGAAGCGTTATGTATAGCTGGCCCATAAGGTCGCGTACTTGAGATAAGAGTTGTCCTGCATGCGTGTTGTCATAAGGAAGGCCAGATTCGGTACGAGTACGGGACAATGATGTTAGTCCTTCTCATTGTTCTTGAGGCCTGGGTCGCAATCATTGGGATGCGTTGGTGCCATCCATTCGGTCCATGTATGGAAAGCAAGTGAAGAGCCTCTAGGCCTAATTGCAGTACTCGCCATCTGCTGAGTTTGGCGAGCAGGTGTGTCGTCGCACTTACTCGCCAAACTTGGCAGGGGGAAAACCTGTCAGAATTCCAGGAGAGTTTTTTTTTTTTTCATCTGTCACAGTGTGCGGAGTTCCGGACTGTCTACTGCTGTTTTGTGGAGGCTCGATTCTTCACAAAAGCACTTCTTGGCGAATTTCCAGCTTTGTGGCTGGAGATCCCGCTGACAACTTTTCTGTGACAGAAAAATTGTGGCGAGCACGCCTCCAACTCGCCACGATTTTCTTATTTTTCACTTGCCGTGCACGGGATGTGCAACTACGCCCTCTAGCTATAGAGCATAAGGTTGCATGATTGAAGTTAACGTTTTCCGCACGCATCTGGCCGCAACGATGGCCAGATTCGGTTCAAGTATAGAGTATAGCGTATCCCGTGTGTGTGTCTATTCTCAGCCTGCTTTAGCACTTAGCCTACAGACGCATCTATCATAGTCTATCCCCATCGTAATTCAATGAAGTCTAGTTCTCGTTACATCAATTAAATTCAATTTACTGCAAAGTTTTGCAAACTGCTGGATGAGACAGCTGTGCAACTGCTTACCCCTTGACGTTCAAGTTGAAATGAAAACTACTGTACTAGGTCCAAAGTCATGAAAACTACTGTACCAGGTCCAAAGTCATGAACACAACTGTCCAAGGTCATGAACCCGTTGGGTAGATTTAGATCTTTGAAGTGATTGGGGTCATTTAGCAGAAATGGGAGGAAAGAAAGAAGATGAAAAACCTGTGTGAAAGAAACTACTGTACCAGGTCCAAAGTCACGAGTTATCATGCCAAAACCTGGGCTGTTTTTTTTTTTCTGTGCGCCTGGGCAGAAATTGTGGGCCTGGACGCATGCCCAGGTGGACAGGACTTCAGGGAGGGGGGTCCCAGACAACCCCCGTTCAAAACAGAAGACAAAAAAAAAAAAAAAACAGTATCTGGAAAGCTAGGCTACCAGCCGGGGTGCACGGGTCACCTTGTTTGCCTGGCCGGCCCGACCGTGCGAGGGCCAAAGAAGGCCACAGCAAAAAAAATAAAATAAAAAATAAAATAAAATAAAATAAAAATAAAAATCTGAAAGAAAACTATGTTATCATTGTTATGCAGAAAAATAAGCTGAACTGTCTGAACAACTTTTCCCTCAGGGTCACATCGAAATTCGTTACCAAAATTTAAATAAAATTATAAAAGTAAAGTTAGGAAATTTAGGAAAATCATTTATTTAAATTATTTATTTATTTATTTTTTTGCCCGGCCGGGCGAGTTGTCCTGGGCCACTCTGGTAGCCTAGCTGGAAAGTGCTTTGTGTAGCACTGCAAGTGCAAACAACTTTTTTTGGCTGAGGGCCACCTTGTTTCCTTACTCAATCGAAGATAAAAAACGTGAAATAAAAGAATCAACCCAAGCCAACCCCTTTAAACCCCTTTGTAAGCCCCCTCGAAGCCCCATTTATGCCCCCCTTCCCCCCCCTCCCCCCCCCCACCCCACCCCACCCCAAAAGGACAACACTGAAAAACTAAAAAGGACCCTGCAGTTGGGCTCTGCTTTCATTGGACGCAGAAAAGGCCTTCCAACACTGAAAAAAACACAACTGGAGTCTTAACATGCCCCGGGGTACCGTTGGCGGGTGGACAGCCTAGGCCAGAACAATAATTATTCAGCCAATTGCAAAGGTGCCAGGCTGGTCCCTTGGGAATCAGAATTATACGTTGTTGCTTTACTGTGTTTAGTGTTTATCTGCAGGCCAGTGGCGCAAAACAGAAACCTAGCTGCTAGTGAGCTTTTTGTGCGACCTTGGTATATATGAAAGCTTTGCTGCAAGTTTTTTACCAATCTCTGTACCAGGCTGCCTGTACGACGTGCCTGCAGCAGACTGCTTGTTCCAGGCTCTCTACCAAAGCCTGTCTATACTGCACTGTCTGTGCAAGACTCTGCAGAGTCTGCACCATGCTCTGTACCAGGCTTTCTTGATTAGGACCTTTGCTGCCAGTTTTGAACCAATCTCAGGACCAGGCTGCCTGTACGAGCGGTCTGCAGACTCTGCACCATACTGCTTGTTAGAGTCTCTCTACCAAAACCTGTCTCTACCACACTGTCTGTACAAAACTCTGCTGCATGCTCTGCTCCATGCTCTGTACCAGACTTTCTGTACCAGGCTTTCTTGACCGGGTTTCCTGTACCAGGGCTGTGTACCAGTCACTGTACCAGTCACTGTACCAGACTGTCTGTACCAGGCTTTCTTGACTAGGCTCTCTGTACCAGGGCTGTGTGTACCAGTCTCTGTACCAGGCTGTCTGTACTAGGCTGCCTGTACCAGGGTGTCTGCACCAAGATATACAGTATGCCCCGTCAGACCCTCCTACCCTCCAGTGTCCCCTCAGTGGCTGTGGAAGTTTATCTCCTTCCCTACATTTATAAAAGTTGCTAATGTGAGAATTTTGGGATCCGAGCCGTTCGCGGTCCTACCGGCCCGATGGCCTGGATTGCCCCGCAATCTTAAAACCTTAAGATCGCGTGGCAATCAGGGCCGTCGGGCCCGCGAAGGCCTGGATCGCTGTACAATGTTTGGACTACCGGTACGGCCCTGTGTTTTCCTTTTGTGGAGGGCCAGGGCGTTTTGGGCCGTTGCAGGACGGCGTTTTCCCTGCATCAAACACGACAACGCGACAAACTCCTGTACGCTACCTATAGAGTGCGAAGGACTATCTTGCAGCCCTGTTCTGCGGGTGACAGCTTTTGCGTGTGCTAGAAGA